GCTGAGGCAAGAGAATTGCTTGAGCCTAAGAGTTTGAGGTTGCTGTGAGGTGTGACACCATGGCATTCTACCGGGGGGAACAAAGTGAGACTACATCTCAAAAAACAAACAAAGAAAAAAAGAGTCCTGGCTGGGTGTGGTGTCTTGTACCTGTAATCCCAGCACTTTGGGAGGCTGAGGCAGGAGGATACCTTGAAGCCAGGAATTTGAGATCAGCCTGGACAATACTGAGACCCCTGTGCCTACAAAAAATAAAAAAAATTAGCTGCACCTAGATGGCACACACCTGTCTCATCTACTCAGGAGGCCGAGGCAGGGGGATCACTTGAGCCCAGGAGTTTGAGGTTTCTGTGAGCCATGATGAAGCCACTGCACCTAGCCTGGGAGACAGAGTGGGACCCTGTCTCAAAGAAAAAAACAAAAGGCTGACTGTTAGTTTGCTGTGGGTACAGTCTCTTTGATCCTTAGTGAGGCTGAGTAAGTTTTTGAGTGCTCTTGTTCTTATCATCAGTTGTAAAATGCTTTCTGACCGCTGTGGTCCTTTCTGTCATCTTATAACAATTTTTAGAGATTCTGTTTCGTCTATAAATGCCTCCTAAGGTGTCTTTAAAAAAAATATTTACAAAAGAAAGTTCACTCCCTCTCAATGGTTGTTAGTAAGTCAACACTTTTTTCAGTGGCGAGTCATATGAATCAGTTAATAGTTTTAATACACGGCATTGCCTGAAAATGCTTTAGCTAAAGTGAAAACGTTAACGACAGTAGATACTCTATGACATGCAGGCTCTGTGCTGCACACATCACATACATTGTTTTAGCCTCATATGCAGATGAAGAAAAAGAGGGTCTGGGAGGATAAGTATCTGGCTCAAGCCTACACATGGCAAAGCCAGAATCTGAATTCCAGATTTAAGTTCAGCCCTTAAGTTTTAGTCATTTTTGAAAACTTGCATGTCATTTAAATTCTAAATCAATGATAAAAAACTATTTAACAAAACGATTGTCTTGCTCCCTAATGCCCACATTTCTTTCTTTCTTTCTTTCTTTTTTTTTTTTTTGAGATAGAGTCTCACTCTGTTGCCCTGGGAAGAGTGCCATGGCATCATGGCTCACAGCACCCTCCAACTCTTGGGCTTAAGTGATCTTCTTGCCTCAGCCTCCTATGTAGCTGGGACTGCAGGCATCCACCACAATGCCCGACTCGTTTTTTTTCTATATATATATTTTTTTCTTTTAGTGGAGAAGTTTTGCTCTTCCTTAGGCTGATCTTGAAGTCCCGAGCTCAAGCAATCTGCCCGCCTCAGCCTCTCAAATTACTAGGATTATAGGGGTGAGCCACCACATCTGGCTAATGTCTACATTTCATTGGTTGACTACCCGTATTGGTGGGAACAACAGCCTGAACCAAGATCAGCTGGGTTCAGAGCTTTCTTACAATGGTTCTTTTTTTTTTTTTTTTTAGACAGAGTCTCACTTTCTTGCTCCCAGTAGAGTGTTGTGGTGTCATCACTCACAGAAACCTCAAACACTTGGGTTCAAGTGATCCTCTTACCTCAGCCTCCCAAGTAGCTGGACTACATGCTCCCACTCCAACACCTGGCTATTTTTAGATGCGAGGTCTTGCTCTGGATCAGACTGGTCTCATACCTGTGAGCTCAGACAATCGGCCTCCCTCGGCCTCTCAGAGTGCTAAGATTACAAGGTGTGAGCCACGGAGAATGGCCCCTATAGTGCTTCTTAACCCACAATGTTCAGGAGGTCCATATAGTTGAGAAACTTTGGTTCTTTTGTTGAGGGAATCAGTCTTTTTCCAGGGTATGAATGGCTGAGCACAGCTGAAGTGCTTAAGACATCAAATGGATCAGAGACATCCCTGGACACCAGCACAGAATAACATACCAGGGTGCTTGGAGTCAGAGTAAGAAGGCCTGCCATAGCCTGGGTCCCCTGGAGCAGGAGAGGATAGCAGAAGGGGAACTCGGGGAGGGATCAGGCCCAAGAGGACAGGAGGATAATTTGAGCCCCCAATGCACTGCTTTTGTGGCACTTCCCATAGGAGGCTGATGACACTGACAGTGTTTGAGAAACAGCCACTAAAGTCCCCATGTTCTGCCTCAGAATTCCACACCCCACGGCATCCTGCCGTTTCCTCTCATGGCATTCTGCTGTCCCCATATTCAGCCTGGAGGAATCTTAGAACACAAGTCTGTTTGCCTATTTATCATCGCCCTATAAAATCCCCCCACCCCCTGGGCCTAACTGCATGAGAGTATAAACCCCTTCCTGTGAGGCTCACACTCTTCCTTCCAACCCCATCTCTGCCTTCCCCACACCCACATTCACCTCTGTGCCTTCACTCTTGACGTTCCCTCCTGTCTGCTAGAAAGCCCAGCTCCTTCTTACTTTCCTGTTGGGGTGGGACTGGCCAGGTCTCTGCTGGCTTATCTGTGTTCCAGACTTGGACCAGTATGCTATTATCTTGCTCGGGAACAATTACCCTTAGGTGCCTGAGAGCTATTTGCTTTAGCAGAAGGGAGAGAGAGAGAAAGAGTCTTTGAGGGAGAGAAGCAGTCTCAGTAGGAGAATGAATCTTAGCAGTCTTGGTACAGAAATGCCATCCAGGCGTTCTGCGGGCAGAAGTGAAAGAGTCAGAGTGAGCAGGTGACGAAGGAACGTGCGTTCACTCCCTGACTGCCTTGGCCAGCAGCTTCTTATAGACGTGATCCCGTGGCTCTTTGCACCACAGGTGTAGAGACTGCCAATCACTGATGTTCTCCAGCTCTCATGTTAGGGGAGCCAAACCCCTCCCCCATGCCCTTATCACCAAGGTGTTATGGTAGCGAGATGTTACCGGTGTTTCTGATGATTATATAGTGTTCCGAGCTTAGCTCTCGCTTCTCCTTTCCATAAAGCTATATGGTCTACTACACTTTCCACCAGCTGAAATTCTGCCTCCTTCAGAGACAGAGATGCCTCTCTGGACACCCCCATCCCTAACAGTCTGCTCTCCCTGTGTATACCCAAGTCCCTTTGTCCCTATGTTTCCTAGAGGGGTGTGTGAAGGGTCCATGAGTGAATATCTGATGCTAAGCCTGGAAAACACTGAGTGCTCAATAATTGTTAGATTTTTATTTTTATTATTGCCCTCAGTAGAGTGCTGTAGTGTCACAGCTCACAGCAACCTCCAATTCCTGAGCTTAGGCGATTCTCTTGCCTCAGCCTCCTGAGTAGCTGAGACCACAAGCACCGGCCACAATGCCTGGCTATTTTTTTGTTGCAGTTTAGCCGGGGCCGGGTTTGAACCCACCACCCTCGGTCTGTGGGGCTGGTGCCCTACTCACTGAGCCACAGATACCACCCAATTGTTAGCTATTTGTAATTTCAGTGTGTAGCTATGTTTAGAATTATTTCTGTTTCATTTGTGTCTGAGGATGTTTTGTTTTACCTGTGTTGCCATCAGGACCTGGAGTATAGCGGATGCTCAGTAAATACTAAGAAAATAAATATGAAGGAATGAAGGAATGTGAGAGGAGAAAGGACTTTCCAAGAGCAGGCAGGGGAGAGACAAGCTCCAGGCAGAGTCTGTAGCTACCTCCAGCAGTTCTGGCCCCAGGCAGTTACTTATCAACCTTTGTCAGGGAAGCTCTGAGTACCTGGAGACACAAGGTATAGTTATCTGCGCAGACATTCCTGAGGGAGCCCACAACGTTGCCCACAAATTCTACTGTCTTCCAATTGCAGTCATTTTAGGGGAGGAAGCAGGACCATAAGAACTCCAAATAGGGCGATTAATCAATCCCCTTCACCTTTTAGGGATTAACCAATCCCCTTTGCCTTCCTACTCCCAGTTCTGCTTCATCAATAGATCCAGGAGGAGCCTCATTTGGTCAACAGACATTTTAATATTCTCAGAATAAGACTCTTCCCTCCTTGCCCAGTTTATTGCTGAGCAGAACGTGGCCAGATGTCAGCAGCAACCCCTGTCCTCATTCCTCTGGCATTTTTTTTTTTTTTTTTGAGACAGAGTCTTAAGCTGTCACCCCGGGTAGAGTGCTCTGACAATCATAGCTCACAGCAATCTCCAACTCTTGGGCTCAAGCGATCCTCTTGCCTCGTTTTTTCTATTTTTATTAGCGATGGGGTCTCGCTTTTGCTCAGGCTGGTCTCAAACTTGTGAGCTCAAGCAATCTACCCACCTTGGCCTCCCAGAGTGTTAGGATTACGGGTGTGAGCCACCACGCAAGCCCTTGCATTTTTTTTAATAGGATCTCACTCTGTTGCCCCGCCTAGAGTGCAGTGGTGACATGATAGCTCACTGTAACCTCAAACTCCTGGGCTCAGTGATTCCACTGCCTCAGGCTCCTGAGTAGCTGGAACTACAGGTGTGTGCCACTTAGGCCCAGCTGATTTTTGTTGTTGGTAAAGATGGTGTCTCACTATGTTGCTCAGGCTGGTTTTGAATTCCTGGTCTCAAGCAACCTGCTTCAGCCT